TGAGATGGAGTCTTACTATGTATGGTATCTTAAAACTGCTGGGCTCAAGTGATCTTCCTGTCTGTACCTCCTAAATGACTCACCAACTCAGCAAAACAGCATATCTCTTTCACACCCTTCAGCCGGGTGATCCTCCTGGACTGGACGTTATAGCCCTGCCTTCTGAAGGGCCTCAGTGCTCACCTGCATCTGTGGCCTTCAGGCTTCATTTATCTGCTTGAGAGCTGCAGTCCTCCTGGGGGGCAACCATGCTGGCACCCAAATACTGGGAAAGGGAGGCCTGGAAAGTGGGACGTGCACAGTGAGGGCTTTCCTCATTTGCCTGTGCTCTCCTCCACCCCACGTCCACGACAGAACCAGCAGCCTCAGGGACAGGAGAAACATCGCTGTTCACTACCACACTCTGTGGTACAGGGGAGCGGACAGTTTGGACTGTCATGTTTCTCCAGACAGAACAGGTGGTGCCAGGTCTCTTTCTGGTAACATGTCATTCACTGTGGAGCTCGGTGCCCTTCCAAGGGACTTCCTGATCAGAAGACTCCAATATTCTGTGGCAATACCATTGACTCACTCACTTATTCACAGAGTAAACAAACTTCCCTTGAGCAGCTGCTAGGAGCCAGGCTAGGCATAAAGAAGATCCAACTGAGTGGCCCCTTACTGGGAATGATGATAGGAACCAGAAAGGATTCAACCAGAAAACAGGTCCCCAGATACCGAATGGCTGCCTCCACTCTGTTTCCAAGGGATTGTCATTCAGCCCCGGGGAATTACGGTGTCTGAGCTGCTTCATCCACCCAGGACATTCAGCGGCAACATTAGATGGGGAAGGACAGGAGCTCTCTCTTCCCTCTCCTGGACAAAGGCTGTCTGTCTTCACTTGGCAGATAGGCTCCTGACCTTCCCCTGCCGGCCCCATCCCTGACAGCCGAGACTTTGTGGGAATGTTCTGGAATGGGTGTAATTGACAGTATTTAGCAGGGACCTAGCCAGTGCTCCCTGACCATTCACAATCTTGTCCCTCTTGTCTAAAGCAAACAATGTGTCACCATGCCTGTGTGTAATAAGAACTCAGTCTCTCTTATCACACTCTGGAGACAAGGGCTGGGTCCTTCCAGGTGCCCATGTTCTTGTGAGTCTGCTCTTGAATGGCAGAATCTCCCAGTTATGACTAAGTGGGGGCAGAGTTGGCCAGGAGGCTCTGAGGTTGGGCGCTGGGGGGTGTCCTGAAGGGTGCAGGGGCGTTCCCCCCTCTCATGCAGGGTGCGGTGGGCGAAGCCCAGCTGCCGCTCTCAGGCTGGAGCCCATGGGGCTGCAGCCCCATTTCTTTAACCTAAAAGACAGGAAGCCTACGTTGCTGCTGCGGATGGAGGCAGCCTCCCCCTGACACTACCTCCCTCTTTCTGCCATTCTGGAGGTCCAATGGCCCAGCACGTGTAGACCCCGCAGGAAGTCTGCTAGGATCCTCCCCCTCCTTGTTCTGGCCCTGTTGATTGGGTGTGGATGGTGTGCCAGGCGGGTGGGGGCGGGAGGCCCGGAAGACACTGGGGAGGCTGGGGGTGTGCCTCATGGTAAATGCCAAGTTTAGGGAGTAGGAGCGCAGGCAATCTGGAGGTGGGGGGTGTTGAGGTAGACTTTGAGGAGCATGACAGGGAAAATGGACAGACCATTGCCTTCGGGACAAGGTAAATGAGCTTGTGTGGTTGAGCATTGTTTGAGCTCTGCGTGTGCTCAGCAAGACAGGGCGAAGTGGAGGTGGGGCAGCGGGGGAGGGAGAAACGATTCTTTTGAAGGCTTGGAGGCAGTTACCATGGAAAGGATCAGAACTCTGTTGGACTCTTACTTTCCTGCTCTGAACTTGATTCCTGGTCATGGTGGGGAGGTAGTCTCCTAATATGTAAAGGCAGTGTGTGTCAGAATGACAAGAACAGGCCAAGCCAGGGAATCTTCTTTGGAAGGTCCCCCATACCAGACTGGGTGCCCATGAGAACCCTAACCTGGAGGCAAGGTCCCTCCACTTCCCCAAGTCCCCAGGTGGGAGCCTCTGTATGTGTGTGGGGGTGGAGGTGGTGCCTGTTCTGGGGCTTGAAATTAGGGCCTCAAAGCTGTCACTTGGCTTCTCTCCTCCATCTTCCATCCCCAAGGCTACTTAAGCCACAGCTGCACTTCTAGCTCTTTGCTAGTTAAATTGTGGAGATAAGAAAGACCCTTGTATCTCAGCCTGGAGCTGTTTTGGTACAAAATTCTCTTTTTTTGGTAGGCATTGTTCTTAAAAAGTGGATGAAGTGGGTGCTGGTGGCTCATGCCTTAATCCTAGCTACTCAGGAGCCGAGATCTGAGGATTGAGGTTCAAAGCCAGGCCAGGCAGGAAAGTCCAAGAGACTTTTATCTCCAATAAACCACCAAAAAACTGGAAGTGACGCTGTGGCTCAAGTGGTAGAACGCTCGTCTTGAGCTGAAGAGCTGAGGGACAGCGTCCAGGCCCAGAGTTCAAGCCCCACTATTGACAGAAAAAAAAAAAAAAAGAATTCTGGTGCCAATGGCTCATGCCTCTCGTCCTAGCTACTCAGGAGGTTGAGATCACAGTACAGAGCCAGTCCAGACAGTGAAGTGTATGAGACGCTTATTTCCAACTAACCACCAAAAAGCCAGAAGTAGAGCTGTGGCAAAGTGGTAGAGTGCTAGCCTTGAGCAAAAAAAGCTCAGGGACAGCGGTGCCTAGGCCCTGTACCAGCACACACACCACACACACACACACACACACACATACCACATACACACACACCACACACACACAAAAATTGAACAAAATGAAGTACAGTTCAGCAGAGGATGTATGGTCAGTTGTGTGATCTCTTGGTCTCTGTAATGTTTTATACTTGGGCTGTGTTTTGATTGAATGCCCTCATAACAACCACAGTAGACCAGCTGAGCCATGGGGTGAATCTGCAGATCTGAAACTGTAGTTCAGCTAAGTCTGTCTCCATCCTCTCTCTTCCCCTACAGATTACAAAGAACTAAGAGGCTCCACATGCTATTCTCAACAGCTGGCTTTGTGTGTGTGTGCATGACACAATTCCTGGGGCCTGAACTCAGGGCCTGGGCACTGTCCCATTGCTTTTTTGCTCAAGGCTTTTCCATTTGAGACAGATCCACGTCTGGCATTTTGGTGCTAAACTGGAGAGAGTCTAATGCAATTCCAGCCTCCTGAGTAGCTAGGATTACAGGTGTGAGCCACCTCTCCCGGCCTGACATTTCTGAAGCAGTCTCTTGCATTAGTCTGGTCTGAGCTGGTCACTAAAATGCTCTCTAGGAATTCTGCACCCCAGTTAATTTACAACTTCTTAGCTTTTTTTTTTTTTTTTGGGGGGGGGGGTCCAGTCGTGGAGCCTGAACTCTGGGCCTGAGCGCTGTTCCTCAGCTCTTCAGCTCAAGGCTAGTACTCTACCACTTGAGCCACAGTGCCACTTCCAGCTTTTTTCTTTTTGCTTATGTGGTGCTGAGGAATTGAACCCAGGGCCTCATGCATGCGAGGCAAGCGCTCCACCACTGAGCCACCTTCCCAGCCTCACAACTTCTTAGCTTTATAACTAAACTTACTCTTTTAGTTCCTGATCCTGTCTTGTCCCATACCCATGTAATTCTCCTGTAGTCTTTGCTCCATCACATTTGGATGATAGATTGGCTAATTCTACAAAGCTTAAACTCTCTCTCTCCTCTCTCTCCCAGCATTTACCGAGCCCCCGAGGGACAAGAATGCTTAACACAGTGTTGACAGATTGTGTGTCCAGGGCCTGTGTGTGCTAGGCAAATACTCTTTCACGAGGCTGCAGGCCTCCCTTCTTCTTGAGGCCCTGTCTGTGTAGACCAGCACGCTTTCAAAGTTGCATCAACCTCCCTCCAGTTCCCCCCTGCCTCAGTGAACCGCTGCTCCAACCTGAGGCAGCTTGGACCCAGCACCTACCACTTACTTGACCACTTGGACCTTCCTATCTCTGGAGGGGGCAATGACCTGGGATGATCTTGCTTTCTCTCTATGTTCAGATAAACAGCCTCAACACTGAGGCCAGGGGCCCTCACAGATCTCTTACTTATACAGGACACTCTTTAACACAGGACAGAAAATAAACAGGAGGGGGGGAAAATCCTGTGCCTAGGCCATGTAATAGCTGCGAGGGTGGGATTCTCACTGGGGTTAGGTGTGTTAGGAGCCACCTTACCCAGTGAAAGCGTTCTGGTCTCTTACCAAGCCTCAGCAAGAAAACAGATCCAGAGGCTGCTCTAGTGTAGGCAGTACTCTACAGAGGCTTCTGGGAAACCGGGCTGCTAAGGCATGGGGAAGGTTCACTCAGTGGGTGCAGGGCTAGAAGTGGAAAGAAGGAAAGGAAGAAAAGAGTTCCACTGGACTTTCAAACACGGCTGTACAAGGTGCTACTCAGGATGTGAGCCTCGGACTAAATCTGATGCCTTTGTTACAACGCCACCACGCTTCTTCACAAAAAGCTGTTCAATTTGAGTGACAAGTCAGGACTTCACAGAAACCAAGAAGAGCAGCAGCGTTCTCTGTGAAGGGAAACTGCAAACAGCACTTACGCTGCACCCACCAGAAGCAAGGCAGACAGACATATCTACATCTCTCTATGTCTATGTATCTTATATCTATATCGGGAGCTAGGTATCTGGACACTGGCTTTGGTTCTTGAGCTAAAGTGTGTGACACAATCGCGGGTGCCACTCCCTTCAATACTGAAGTGAGCTCAGCAAGAAGCCTGCCGGCAGGGCAACCTAGTGTCCTCTACCTGGCCAAGACCCCAGCTCAGCTGAGAGTGCAGGCAGATGCCGGGCCTTGACCCCCTCACCAGACCGGAGACCGGGCTGGCCACGTTTGTCTTCTCTGGTTGGCTTTTCTCCCTGCCCTGTGCTGTGGCTTCTGGGCGTGCAAGGGAGCAGCAGTGCCAGTGGGGAAGGGCGGGCAGCAGTGGTAAAGTGCTACAGTGTGATGCAGTTTTAATAAAAATTTTATTACACAGCCATAATGTAATTGACACTTTTCCAAATCCAAATGATACTAAATACAGATCTACACAGTGGGTCAGAACGACTCCCACAAATCATATGGATTCTATGATTTTATGCCTTTTAAAACCAGAAAGAGAAAAAGGAGTCCAAGTTTGTTTGACATGATAGGAGAGGTTCCAGCAGCCCCAAGACTCTGCCAGAGCCCCGGCAATATTTAACAGTCTGTGATTCCACATTTACACAATAGTCTATAAAGAGCTTTGGTCAATGGACTGTTCAAGTATATATGATTTTAATGAGTCCATCACCAGTCCTGTGCCCAGCCCGGCTGTGTCCCAGCTACAACATAGCTGTGTTACAGTCATAGTTACCAATCTTACAGTCACAATAAAAACCATCCATTGCTGCTTCCTTAAGAGTAAAAAAAATGTAAACTAAGTTAAAGCAACACTGAGGCTGTACTGAATCAGAAAGAGCTATCAAAGTTTGTTTTTATGTTTAAATACAACGGAACTCATGATTTCCCATCATCCCCCTTCCTTAAACGAAAGCAGAGCGGGATAGAGCAGAGCTTCCTCTCCCTTCCGCGGAAGTCAGCGCTCAGCTGTTTCTTTAGCTTAGTTCTCGGTATATATAGTGAGTCGTACTTTGTTCTGGAAAGATTTGTTAAATGCCACTTTTATTTACACTTGGAGCTTTACACCTGAGAACGATTATCAAGCAGTCAGCTGATCTCTTTCCAAACATCTCATCATGACACACACACTTCTGCTGGCTTCACCCTCGTGCACAACACTATATGCTTACCATGGATATGCACACTCGGCTCATGCTGCTGACATTTGCAACCTAATCTGTTTGTTTGCTCTCCACATTCATGTTGAATGATCTTGAAAACAAAACAACATGTTATTCTTGCCAAAACATGAAAACAGGAGGAGAAGATGGGTAGAACTGGGTGGGAACAAGACATACTACGTCCAGCCAGGAAGCTGCGCAGGAGATGCGCCAGACGCCTCTGCTGCTTCCCCTGGCACTGCCCTGGATCTCCCTCCCGCCTGCCAGGTCGCGGCTGAGGGCAGGGGAATGAACCAGAAGGCTTTTTGCTGCCCCAGTGGGGAGGTGATGGGGGAAGGGGCAGAGAGGGAGTCACACAGCTACAGCAGCCAGGCCTGTTTAGTAAGAAGAGTCACATTTAATGAGTTTCTTTCTTGCAGTTTCAGATGCTCAAGTACAGCTGAAAAAAATCTGAAACAGCTATAGACCCATGACAGACTGATACAAAGAGTACTGCATTTTTAAAAAATGATAAAAAAATCCACACACACACCTACACGCACGCACGCACACACACACAGACACACACACTCACTCTCAAATTAGGCCCCCCCCCCCCTCCCCACAAATGTACACTTTTTGGAAACTAAACTGGTTTTGAAAATGCCTCTTCCACAGAGAGGGAAAGAAGGGAGAGATAGGAAGGAGGGTTGCGGTGCCTCATCTCCACTCCCTTGAAAGGGTCAGGCGCCAAACGGTCGATGGATGGGCCCACGGCAGTCTGGAGGGAGACTGTCCAGCGCTGCTGCTATTGCCACCAGGGGTCCAGCAAGAATCCCAGCTCCATGGTAATACTGAATGTGTGCAGAGTGGCCAATGAACTGTGCTGGTTAAAGAAAAACCAAAACCAGAAAACAAAACAAAACAAACAAACAAACAAAAAAAAAAACCAAAACCGGCAAAACACAAATCTAAAGACCTGGAAAACCCGAGACAGCCCAGATCCACACTGGGTGGGGCCTAGGGGCTGGTGGAGACAAGGGAGGTCTATACAGAGAATGGTTTATATTACAGATGACTGGCAGTTCAGAGTCTCTTCCCAGTTCTACTGCTGCTCCAGCCCACAGAGGGCAAACCAAAGGAAAGAGGAGAGGAGAGGTGGGACACCAGTGGGGCATGCAGGGTTGGAGGCAGCAGGCTGGGTGCGCTCAAATAAGCCCTCGTCGTTTTTTGTAGTCCTCTAAGTTCAGAGATCTCCGTGGAGCTCCATCCTTGGCTGGCGGGGCCTTGGAGGTGATGGCCAGAGCCTTGGACTCTGCGGGAAGGAAGGGCAGACTGGTGTATGAAGAGCCCAGCACACAGGAGAGCGCCTTTGCATCCTGACTGCAGTCTGCTCCATCTCGGAACACACCTGTGGCCTGTCTGACACAGCCTCTACAGGCATTGGGGAGCAGACACCCCACTTCTTCCCTACGGTCAGGCCTCCTCGCTGGCTGAGGGATGAGGATTCGTCTGGCACCCAGCTATCCCATGCCACACGTACCTGAGCTGGGAACCTGTAAATCAATCTTCACATCAAAATCATGGACTTTGAACAGGTCTTCTGAGAGGTCACTGGCTGACTTAGAATTCAAATCTTTGTCTTTTCCCTGGCCCTGCAATGAGAAAAGGAAAAGGTAAGAACATAAATGTAAGTACATTTCAAGCGGCAGCAGCCATTGGTGTCAAAGCCCTTGCTCAGGTTCATTAGATTTCCCTGTTAATGCTCTTTACATCTATTTTTATTTTTGGGGTCTGGTACTAGGCTTGAACTCAGGGCCTTGTGCTTGCTTGAGTTACATAACTTATCCTGACTTTTTAAAATTAATTTTAGCCGGGCGCTGGTGGCTCACGTCTGTAATCCTAGCTACTCAGGAGGCTGAGATCTGAGGATTGAGGTTCAAAGCCAGCCTGGGCAGGAAAGTCCATGAGACTCTGATCTCCAATAAACCTTGAGCGCTGTGGCTCAAGGGGTAGAGCACTTGCCTTGAGTTGAAGAGCTGAGGGACAGCGTCCTGAACCAGAGTTCAAACCCCATGACCAAAAAAAAAATTAATTTTAGTTTTTTGTTTTTTTTTTGGTTGGTTGTGGGGCCTGAATGCTGGGCCTGGGCGCTGTCCCTCAGCTCTTCAGTTCAAGGCTAGCGCTCTACCACTTGAGCCACGGTGCCACTTTCAGCTTTTTTCTGCTTATGTGGTGCTGAGGAATTGAACCCAGGGCCTCATGCAGGAGAGGTAAGCACTCTACCACTGAGCCACCTTCCCAGCCCTAAAATTAATTTTAAAATTAACTTTCAAAGTTACTTTTTTCTCTGCAGTGCTGGGGGGTTTGAAACCCAGGGCTGTGACCATACCATGATAGCGGACTGCTACTAAGCTACATCCTCAGCTCTACGAGGCTTTTCAGATTCTTTCTCTTGGGAGGGAGGACAGGAGAGGCCATTAGGAGCCTTTTCAGAGTACAAAGTGAAACGGAGAAGGCAGGCTCGGGCCTGCCGCGTGTGAGAGGCAGGGTGGGCTTAAGACAGTTAGCCACCTTCTGATCTAAGGTTTCAGGAATTCCCAGGACAGCTGGGGCTCCACAGGTAAAAACCTGAGGGAGAAAGTGGCTTTTAGATGGGCAGTTTCTCTCTGAATACCATGATCACAACCATCAACAGCTAGGGCACACAGAGGAAAGACTGCTAGGTAGAAGTCTATGTTCCTCCCTGTGGGAACATCAGGCTCTCGGCAGGTGAGGTGAGGTGATTTCAGGTCCTAGTCAGCATCCTCGCTGAGCAGCCGGGTGGGAGGGCACTTGCCTTGCTCATTTCCTTTGGAGCATCGGGTAACACTCCAGAGCCATATTTCGCATTGAGCTGGGCTAAGATGGCAGCTTGAACAGCCGGGTCTCTGGACTGAGAGAGATTTTAAGTTATTATAGAGATGTGAAACACCCAGAGTCCTGCTGCCAGACTCTTTCACATCTATTACCTCCAACATCACAAGCGCCATTGTGGACCCATTACCAAGGCTGCAGAGTATTCAAAGGCAGTAGATAAGGCAATCAAAGGCTTCAAAACTAACCCCAGACCACTCAAGTCCACGCAACAGAACATGCTATGAGCTCAGCATCTCTGGAGTGGGATCCAAACTCCAAAATGCTCCTAATATCCAAAAAACAACATGGTGCTACGAGTGAAAACTGAACATCTGACGTTATGTGTGGCCAAATGCAGGCCCACTAAAAGTATGTTGCATCTAATATGAAACGTAAATGAACCTCGTCCCAAGCTACCTCACTACACATTTGTGAATATTCCCAAATTTCCTAAGCTCTGTAACACTTCTGGTTCTCTTCAGCATTTTGGATGCTGTGCTGAAGTCTTCTGCACCCACCCTGGTGCAGAGTTTCACAAACCCATGCCAGGTTCTGACTACCCGTATGCCCTCTACCAAGATAAAAAAGGAAGTATATAAATGCAAGCAAATCCCAGCTAGGAAAACATTATTTTTAACTTCATTATTAGTTCCCTAATGGGATTCATTTCATGTCCTAGAATCTCGGTTCCCAACTAGAGACATGCTCTCTGGGCACTCACATTGGAAACGATGGTGGGCTTACACTGCCGCCTGGTGAAGGGATCCATCTGCTGGTTTTTCATGTTGTGACTTTCAGCCTGGAACAGAGTGTGCATTTGTCTGAGGCTTACATACAAATAATGTATTTTAAAAGGACCGAGAGAAATCAAATCCTCCCTCGAGAAGGTCGGAGCAGAGGCTCAGGGTACAGGACTTGGCCTAGCATGCATGAGGCCCCAGGGTTTAATCCCTGGCACTGCAAAGCAAAACAAAACACCAAAGCACACAGGGTAGATGGGAATAACAACTAAAAGTGAGAAACTGGTAGCAATGGAGGAAGGGTAAGACCCTATGTGTCCATTTCATTTCATGAACAAATCATACAAGGTTTGTGTGATAGAAACACTGCATGCCCGCTAAGTGCATGTTGATCGCAGTAAATGGGAAGAAGAACTCGGGCAACATGCAGAAAAGATTTCCTACCATTACATTATGGTTTAAAGCTTCAGGGATCCAGATGAAGTTGTTGTCTTACTCACCACAAGGGCCTTCTCAGACTCCACAATGTTCCACTCCCGGTTCCGCTGGTTGATGTAGCTGTGGGTGAGTAAGAGGGATGAGTCAGAATGCTGGGTTGTGAGAGGAGGGATGGGCCATGGAGCCCTAACCACAGAGATCTGTGGAGTGTGGGCAGCAATGTGTACAAGGCTACAGGTGGCCGGACTGCTGACGCCAAGGTCCCTGGGCCCCCAAACAGGCGTGGTAACACACCTGATAGCAGATATGTTCTTGGTCCGCTGGCGGTCCAGGGCCTCTGCGCGCTCCTCCAGCTCGTTGAGCTGGTCTTGGATTTGTTTGGCCTTGTCCTGATCCCCGAGGTCCTCAGCCATGGCCTGCATCCAGAGAGACACGAGAGCTCTTGGGATGTGGAGGAACAGTGACACACGGATAAACTTTTGCCCAGTGACCTGGCTGTGGGCCCTGAAACCCAGGCCCCCAGGGCTAAGATGCCCTAACCTAGTGAGAGGCCCCTCACCCACTGGCAAGGAGAACAAGGCTCTACCCGAGGTGGGCTGGACAAGGTCAGTGGGTATGTGATAAGACTGACTACGACTCCAGACTCTTCCGTACTGGGAAGTAGGAGAACACGATAAACGAGATCAATTCCAATTTATACAGAAGAAAATGGCCAAGGAACGAATGCTACTTGGACATGTTAAGAATGCTCTGTATTGCTTAGAATTAGCCAAGAATCTTCTCCCAATCCTGCCGCCACAAACTTTTTTTTCTTTTTCCTCTTTTTTTAAATTATTAATAAGTTTTGTGTGTGTGTGTGTGTGTGTGTGTGTGTGAAAATACCGTACAGAGCACAAACTTTTTTTGTTGGTCATGGGGCTTGAACTCTGGGCCTGGGCGTTTGCTGTCCCTCAGCTCTTCAGCTCAAGGCAAGCGCTCTACCACTTGAGCCACAGCGCCACTTGCAGTTCTCTGGTGATTTACTGGAGTTAAGTTTCATGGATTTTCCTGACTGGGCTGGCCTTGAACCGTAATCCTCAGATCTCAGCCTCCTGAGCAGCTAGGATTACAGGCGTGAGCCACCTGCACTTGGCCTGGACAGGCAGCTTTTGATTCCCTAGACCCTAACAGAAGAGGCAAAGAGGCAGGAACAGATCCTTACTTTTTCCTTTAGCAGCTGAGTCTTCTTCATAGCATAGTTGGGTGGAGCTTTCCTGAATCTTTCTTTTTCTTTTACAATCTGTACCGGAGAGAACAGAGAGGAGATAGCAGCAGTGAGGCATTCCCACACCATTTCTGTGGACAGGTTAAGCGAGCCCATTTTGGAGGCAGGCTGCTAGGTTAAAGGAGCCAGTTCTTCCTAGAGCACTGTCATGCCCCAGAGAGCAAGTGAGTTCATTCCAAGGGGTCTCAAGCTGCTTCCCGCAGGCCCTTCTGGGACATTTTGAAGGAGCAAACACCAATACACAGCAGCAGCCTAAGGCCTGGCACTATGAAGCTAGCACTATCCAAGATGACACAGATCAAAGGATTTTTTTTTTTTTTTTGGGTCCGGTCGTGGGCCTGAACTCTGGGCCTGGGTGCTGTCCCTCAGCTCTTCAGCTCAAGGCTAGCGCTCTACCACTGGAGCCACAGCGCCACTTCCGGCTTTTTTATTTTCTGCTTATGTGGTGCTGAGGAATCGAACCCAGGGCCTCAGGCATGCAAGGCAGGTGCTCTACCACTGAGTCAACTTCCCAGCCCTGAAGATCAAAGGATTTTTATCAAAGGGTTTTTGAAGAAAGCTCTAGAAGGACCAAACCTAGGTGAACATATATCCCTAAAGCCTGAATGCACTTGAGTTGATGTCTCATCTGCAGATGAGAATGTCCAAAAGCCTGTTTATAGTTAATGCAATACTAGGATTTACTTATCTTCATGCATAGTAAAAATGTCAAGATAGAGGCAAGAAAAGGAAGTCATGAAAGTCTCTTTTTTTGGTTGGGTGTAGGGCTTGAACTCTGGGCTCTTCAGCTAAGGCTTATGAAGAAGGTTCTTAGTGAACCTCCAGGCTCTAGGGTCCAGGCTTCTTACCTCTTCAATGTCCTGATCATTGAATTTATAATTGAGAGCTTCTTTAATAGATAACTCCTTCTTATTAATTTCATCTAGAGTGGGCAACTGCATGCCAGCAGAGAACATCTGGAGCAAAAAACAGTGAAGCAGTTATTAGTAAGATATTTAGGAAACAGACTTGCTGCTCTGGAACAGCTGCTGGGGGGGTCTCCAGCTACTTACCGCTTCTTTCCACTTCATGAACTCACTTTCGGTGAATTCTTGGTTTGAGACAAACTCTAGGCGGAACACTCGCTGGTCACTGCCATGCCTGCATGAAAAAGACAAGTGTCTCCAAGAATGTGCTTGCCAACTGCAGCCAAGGCGTGGTATGCACTACCCACCTCTACCTTTGTGCTTCTCAGCCCTTGGAAATCATCTAGACTTATACATCCTTGAAGGCTAAAGTACCAACCTTCAAGAGCTAAACAAAGATCAACCAAGTCAAACTCTGGAGTATCAATCTGACACAATAAACTTCCCAGGATTTTTGTTTTGCTATTACCAGGGCTTGAATTCAGGGCCCCGTGCTGGTATGGTTTGCTTGCTTGGCTGGTACTCTATCACTTGAACCATGCCCCCAGTCTGCTTCTTGCTGGTTATTTTGGACGTGAAGTCCACCAGATTTTTCTGTCTAAGGTTGGCTTATTAAACGTGATCCTCTAGATCTTACTCTCCTGAGTAGCTAGGATTATAGGCACAAGCCACTAGCCTTTTACAATCTCATTTGATCAGTCATTACTTATGCGAACTACAGAATTTTTGTTCATTGTTTTGTTTTTGGCAGTACAGGATTGTGGGCCTTGAGCTTGCTCTGCAGGAACGTTACCACTTGAGCCACACCTCCAGTCCCTCCCAGGGTGTTTTAAGGGCCAGTCAGGCCAGAGCTGACAAGGCTAACAGGGAATCAGATGAAGTTGGGCAGTGCTTCAAAGTGAGTTTACAGTCAAATACCCGCAGCCAATCCATGCTATGCAGCATCATGTGATGACTCGAATGGCACACCGAGTCTGTTCCCTCCGGGGGAGAGCAGGGTCTTTCTACTGACCACTGTCTTGGCAAAGTTAAGGGACTCAGTGCCATTCTCTTAGTGACTCTCTAGCCACTCTAGCCCAGGTGTATCTTTTAAAACAAACCAGGGGAGATGATGGGGAAGGGAGGAAGGAGGGAAATGGAGAGTCCATGGTGATCAAATTAGGCCAGGGTTCAGCCATGGCTATTACCTGCATTGGCAGTGTGATCCTGGTAAACTAGGTCTACTCCTTCCTATATGGGGTCTTTAGAATTCTCAGGCTCCAAGAGGGCAGGGATTTGTGTATGTCTGTTTTGTTCTCTCCTTTATCCTGATGTCTAGAACAGTGCCTGGCACATAGTAGACATGCAGTGAGTATCTGTAGAGTGAATGATACTTCCATTTTACTGAAGTGGAAACTAAGTCAGGAAAGGTGCCCTGACTTCACCGATGCAGTTAGTGAGGTGAGAGGGCTAGGGCCAGAAGCCAGGCTCTGATCATGCTCACAAGCCAGGCCTGCAGGACTCTGGCAGAAGGGTCCTTCTCTGTGTCCTACCACTTCATCGCCCTTCGCGCCCCATGGGGGAGAGCAACTTTCCCACAGGCTGGCAGAACACAAGCCTCCCTCCGCGGTGCCCGCGGGGACCGCCAGTGCTGAGTGCCACAAGAAATCACACCAGAGTCACAGGTAGTGCCTCTCACCGCAGCTGTAGCCCTTTGTTTGTTCTGGTGCCACCAAGCTGGTAAACTTTGGCAGTTTCCACCACACCTGTGATCTCAGCCACCTAGGGAAAAGACAGACAGGCGTCAAAAACACACTACTCCGGTTCTCCGCACTCCTATCTGTTCTCCACCTGAACACAGAGTAGCCCTGCGCCGTAGAGCCCCGGCATGTTTCTGGTTTGGAATTCACATGGCCAAGAACAGGAAGCCTTGTGTCCATGGTAATAGAGAGAAGAAGTGATCTGGCACTTCAGGCTTGTGCCACTGAACATAGCTCCAGAAGCCAATTGGACATTGTTTTTGGAGACAAGGTCTTGCTCTGCAACCGTGGAATCAAAACTCTCAATCCTCACGCCTCAGCCTCTTAAGTGCTGGGATTACAGGACTGTATTACAAGTCCAGCCAACAATCTGAACAACGATTTTCTTCTTTTCTTTAATAAATTGATAGCCTGAGGTAGTTATAACAGGAAAGAATGTTGGCTAACATACTTACGTAGTGGCAGAAGAGTAACCAATTTGTTCAGTAGCCCAACTCCTAGTAAGGGAAGCGTATATACATATATATGTATTTTTTTTGTGGGGGGCAGTACTGGGGTTTGAACTTGAGGCCTTCCACTGGCTAGGAAGGCATTCCACCATTTTAGCAACACCCCCAATCTGGGAATCATTACACTTAAACATGGACAAGTGTTGAAGGAAATACCAACCCGGTAAACTGGTTTGCTGTTGTGGTTTCCAATGCCAATCCGAACAAAACATCCTGTGACAGTTTTTGCAAAGAAGGGCATGTGACACCAACGCTCTAGCTTATGCCGTGACAACCGAACCCGATTCAATTCCTCAGGTAGGGAGACTGGTTGTGATTTTGGAGGGATCTCTTCTTTCCTGTGAGGAACCCAGGGGCAATAGAAGTATCTATCAGCAAAACTGAGAACAGAGGGATGAATACCTAACCCTAGGTACGGGTGATTAAGAGGAGAAAACAAACACCAGGAAAATAGCATGCTTCCTGTAACCATTACTGTGATGCGTCTTGACTAAGGCTTCACCCCCGGTAAGAAAATAGGTGGCTGCAGGCCTGGCTCAAGAGCTAGAGCTCAGGGCTGGGTTTGTTCCTCAGCACCACATAAGCAAAAAGAAAAAAGCCGGAAGTGGCACTGTGGCTCAAATGGTAGAGCGCTAGCTTGGAGCTGAAGAGCTGAGGGACAGCGCCCAGGCCCAGAGTTCAAGCCCCACGACTGGACCCCCCCCCCAAAAAAAAAAAAAAAAGAGCTAGAGCTCCTACCTAATAAACACAAAGCCTTGAGTTCAAACCCAGCACCATCAAAAAAATTACAAAAAAAAAAAATTCAGATTTTGGGGCTGGGAGTGTGGCTTGGTAGAGTGCTCACCTGCATGCATGAAGCCCTGGGTTAGATTCATCGGTACCACATACACAGAAATAGCCAGAAGTGGCGCTGTGGCAGCTCAAGTGGTAGAGTGCTAGTCTTGAGGAAAAGAGGCTCAGTGGCAGTGCCCAGGCCCTGAGTTCAAGCCCCAGGACTGGCAAAAGAAAAGCAAGTGGGTGGAAGCCACAGGGCACATGTGAGCCAGGCCTGGTGAAACGTCAGTGAGCTGGCCAGGAACCCCAGGCAGAACAAACAGATGTGCTGGAAGCTGAGGTCAGTAGGCCAGGGGACCGAAGCAAAGCAAGCGCAGGGTCCAAACAGGCTTGCTTTGAGAACTATACCAAGCCACTCTGCAAAGAACCACCTCTCCTGCCTTCAGGAGCACAAGGACACAACTTACTCTTCTTCTTCGTCAGATGAGGAAGTTCGGGAGGAACGGTCTGACTTTTCGCTGGACTTGTCGTCCTCTTCTTCCTCCTCGTCGTCGGAGTACACCTCACTGGTTTTTAATGGCTGTTTCTTGGCGAGGAGCTCAGCTAGAAAGAAGGGAACAATTTTTACTCACAATAACACACTGAATGATCTTTCATGTTCATGGGAGAGGACTCAAATGGGTAGTGTCTTCCCTAGACAGGCTGTAGTAACCAGGGTTCTTGTGAATTAAGAGAGTTAAAATCATACAGGTGCCAAGAAAGAAAGAAACAAAACAAAAAACCTAAAAAGCCTTTTATGTATAAGAGACATATGTTGAAATACTTGTAGCTGAAATACAGTGATGTTGGGATTTACTTAAAAATTATCTAATTAGAGAAGGGGAGTAGGGATTGAGCAAGAATGGCCAGTAGACTGCATATAGTAGGATCATTGAGGATAATTATACTACTCTCAGCATATGTTTGGAATATAATAAACAGTCATAAAGGGGTAATAAAAGTGGCAGCAGGAAATCAAAGTGACCACTACATTTCCCACACTTACCTGTTCTGTTCTTCCGTTTTTCTCGCTCTGCCTTCAGCTCCTCCATGGCTTGAGATTTCTTATCGAGTTTCTCATCCCTCTTGGAACGTCGTTCCTTGTTGTGGGATGTTACCTGGAAGGGAAGGATACATAAGGTGGCTGTTGGTAAGATTCTCTGTACTTAACAATGAATTCAGTCCTCATCAGTCTACACTGACGACACAAACTTAAAACTTGTACAGGGGACACAGCATCCTCTTGTGGACAAAGAGAACAGAGCAGCAAAAGCATCCAAGTTTATCTGCTTAATACACAAGTTGAAGAATTTCACAATTAATGGCTGGGCACTGGCAGTTCACACCTGTAAGTCTAGCTACTCAGGAGGCTGAGATCTGAGGGTTATGGTTCAAAGTCAGGCAGGACAAGAAAGTCCATGAGACTCTTATCTCCAACCAACCACCAAGAAAGCTGGACATAGAGCTGTGGCTTATGTGGTAGAGGACTAGCTTTGAGCAAAAAAAAAAAAAAACAAACCAAAAAACCCTCAGTGACAGTGCCCAAGCCCTGAGTTCAAGCCCCAGGACAAGCATAGAAAAAAAATTACACAAATAAAATTGTTCTATAAGAACTGCCTAGATTATGACCTAGGACTTGTTGATATGTCATCATGAACAGAGATGACTAATTTTCCCAGTTCTATTTATATCAAGTCTAATATGACACACACCAGAGTAAACATCATAGCTAATTTAGTTATATTGGACAGGAAGTCTACCAACTTTCCTTCAAGGAAAGCTCACACTCTGCTGGACATCTGTTTAAGAGGTTTTAAGTCAGAGTTGCTAAAGATTACAGCGTGCAGACAGCACCTAACAGGCTGTACTCACTATGACGGGCTGATGCATATAAAGCCACCTCTGACATCAACAACCCGAACACAGTGAACTCAGAAAGGAGGAGGCCTGCAGAACCTCCTACCTGAGATTCTTCCTGCCCCCTTTCCCTTTTTTTTTTTTGTCAGTCCTGGGGCTTGAACTCTGAGCCTGGGCACTGTCCCTCAGCACTTTGGCTCAAGGCTAGTGCTCTACCACTTGAGCCACAGTGCCACTTCCGGTTTTTTCTGCTTATGTGGTGCTGAGGAATCAAACCCAGGGTCTCATGCATGTGAGGCAAGCACTCTACCACTGAGCCACCTTGCCAGCCCCTACCTGAGATTCTTGAATTTGTGTCAGCTTTTTCTTCTCCTGCTCCTCTTCTTGCTTTTTCTTTTTTTCTTTTTTTTCTTTTTTTTTGGCTGTTTTTAGTTTTTTCTTGATTTCAAACCTGGTTAAAAGATATTAAAAAAAAATGAAAATTTATATAAAGGAAGTAAATTTATACAAAGCAGGAAATTTACATAAAGGCTGATTTCTATTAGTTAGGAGAAAGAAATAAATAGGAGTTAATAAAGTTTGGCTTCCTGCAAGAAATTCTAATACCTTTTATGTACATTAAAAAAAAATGGAGGGATGGGAAGGTGGCTCAGTGGTAGAATGCTCGGCTAGCATGTGTGAAGCCCTGGGTTTGACTCCTCAGTACCACATACACAGAAAAAGCTACAAGTGGCACTGTGGCTCAAGTGTTAGAGTGCTAGCCTTGAGAAAAAGCAGCTCAGGAACAGCACCCAAACCCTGATTTCAAGCCCCAGGACCAGCATGTGTATGCAGCATGTGCACATGCACACACACACACAAACTGGGCTCTTATGAAACAAATATAACTTCTCGTGAACTCAGGAAACTTTACAGAATAAAAAAACAAATTTTTTTCCCAATTTTTTTAAATCAGTTGTGAGGCTTGAACTCTGGGCCTGGATGCTGACACTGAGCTCTTGGGCTCAAGGTGAGCGCTCTACCACTTGAGCAACAGCACCACTTCCGGTTTTCTAGCGCTTAATTACAGATGAGAGTCTCATGGACTTTCCTACCTGGGATGACTTTGAACTGTGATCCTCAGATCTCAGCCTTCTGAGAAGCTAGGATTACAGGCGTGAGCCACCAGGCGCCAAGCTTTTTTTTTTTTTGGATCCGGTCGTGGGCCCGAACTCTGGGCCTGGGCGCTGTCCCTCAGCTCTTCAGCTCAAGGCTAGCGCTCTACCACTTGAGCCACAGCGCCACTTTCGGCTTTTTTTCCCCTGGTTATGTGGTGCCGAGGAATCGAACCCAGGGCCTCATGCATGCAAGGCAAGCACTCTACCACTGAGCCACCTTCCCAGCTCAAGTTTTTTTTTTTCTTCAATTTTTGAGATAGAGCCTTTCTTCCTTCCTTCCTTCCGTCCGTCCTTCTTTCCTTCCTTCCTTCTTTTCTTTTCTTTCTGTCATGGGGCTTGAACTCTGGGCCTGGGTGCTGTCCCTCAGCTCTTCAGCTTAAGGCTAGCGCTCTACCACTTGAGTCACAGTACCACTTCTGGCCTTTTCTGCTTATGTGGTGCTGAGGAATCGAACCCAGGGTCTCATACATGCAAGGCAAGGATTCTACCACTGAGCCACCTTCCCAGCCCGAGGGATAGTCTTTCTATATACCCTACTCTGGCCTCCATCTCCATGTTCCTACCTCACTCTTCCAGAGCTGGTATTCAATGTTTGTGCTACCACACTCAGCTAGATAAAGATTCAACTCTTACCTCTATACGGTAAGTAACATTGCCAAATTTTCACTTAGTTCTTAAAAAATATATTCAATACTGATATACTCTTTTCATTCTATTATTAAGGCAAGCAAACAAAAAAAGAATATGTACACGAAGTCTGAGACAAACCACTCTTCACTTGTGAGCCTGATGTTCTGTTGTTGGTCATCGTTGTCTTTTTTTTGTCTGTTGTAGGGGCTGAACTCAGAGCCTGGGCACAGTACCTGAACTTTTTGCTCAAGGCTAATGCTCTACTAGCATTTGAGCCACAGTTCCATTTGTGGGTTTTAGGTATCTAACTGGAGATAAGAGTTGCTCGGCCTTTCCTATCCAAGTTGGCTTTGAACCTTGATCCTCAGATCTCAGCCTCCTGAATAAAGGGTTTACATGTGTGAGTCAGATGTCAGTCCTCTTTTTTTGCTGTTGTTGTTGTTGGCTGTGGGGCTTGAACTCTGGGCCTAGGCACTGTCCCTGAGCTCTTCAGCTCAAGGTGAGCGCTCTTTTACTTTGAGCCTCCTCGGGTTTCAGGTAGTTAATTGGAGATAAGAGTCTCACTCACTTTTCTGCCCAGGCTGGCTTTGAACTGTGATCCTCAGATCTCAGCCTGCTGAGCAGCTGGGATTACAGGTGTGAGCCAGCTGTTGGTCCTCTTGATGAGGCCTCTTGTTATGCTCTCAACAGTTTGAGAAATAAAAATTTCACAAGTAGCGGGTGGAATTGAACTCAGGGCATCAGGCATGCTAGGAAAGCACTCTACCACTAAGACCCAGCAGAGCTTCTTAATGTCTATTTGTTTCAACACAGGTAACCTTGGAGGCTTTCACACTCAAAACAAACGTCTATTGCTTGCTGTTGACTGGAAGCCAAACATTCTTGTCTAGGATAACTCACCGCATGTAATATGGCCTCCAGAAGGACTAGCGGCCGCCCTGAGGCAAGGGAACTAACTAGCCAGTTTCAGAAAGTACTTGGATTTTATTTTCCTGATACTGGACACATAGCAAAGAATTCTAGTTCTTTTATTTCCCAAGACAAAAGCCAGTTTCTCAGCCTAAATATTACAGCTTTTAAAAAGTACAAAAACCATGTCAGAAGGCCGGACAACCTACTTTAACATAGTGAGAGCTTCCATGGCTAGAATCTTTTGAATTCCAAGTGGAAATTTTAGAAAATCATTTCTATTGGCAGCTTGATAAATTGAAAGCCAGTTTGTAGATATGTAAATTACCATTTATTCACCCAATTCATATCATTTGATGTACTTTCAATTATTACTTCCTAAAATCAAAACCATCTTATAACTCTTCCTTACTGTCTTTTGCTCAGCAGAAATCATATCACGCAGCTAAGAGCCAGTGACTCTTGCCTGTAATTCCAGACCAAGATTTGAGGAGTGAGTTTTGGAGAAACTTGAGGTAGACATAGCCAAGAGAGTCTACTCTTCGTTTAACAAGCAAAAAGCCTGAACTGGAGATGTGGCTCAACTGGTAGAGTACCATGAGTAAAAAAGTCAGAAAGCACTCAAGGCCCAGAGTTCAAGCCCTAGTACGGACACAAAAATACATTCATACAGACATACATAAAATAAAAATAAAAATAGTCGCGTGCTGATCTTTCTCTGTAAGGATGCGTAAATGCCTGTGTGTTTCAGAATAGGTAAGTTACCAGGAAACAGAACAGCGTGTGGCCATGATGTGTTTTATGGAGTCAGATAGCCTCAGATTTGAAATCTAGTCCCACAGATTACAGCCGTATAACCTGTGACAAGTGTCTTCCATTCAACAGGTATTTAGTACTCAGCTATATGTGAACTAGTCATGATTCAAGCACCAAGAAAGGTGTAGAGAAGAAGACACATTAGTCTCGGCCCGCTCAGAGCTTGCTCTTCAAGCCGAAGTTTCTACCTACTCTCCAACAAGGAATAATCAGTTGTTCCCGCAGGGCTGTTGTGAAGATTAAATAGCACACATAACTGTCTCATCAAGAAAACCTCAGGAGTACTGCACATTAGTAAAGTTGATGGAAGAAGAGTAACAGTAAGTCTGATCCAAATGTAACTATGTTGTTGTTGTTATTATTATTGCCAGTCTTGGGGCTTGAACTCAAGGCCTGGGCGCTGTCTCTGAGCCTCTTTGTGTTCAAGGCTAGCACTCTACCACTTGAACCACAGCACCACTTCTAGCTTTTTCTGAGTAGTTTATTGGAAATAAGAGTCTCATGGACTTTCCTACCTGGGCTTGCTTTGAACTAAGAGCCTCATATCACAGCCTCCTGAGTAGCTAGCATTACAGGTGTGAGCCACCAGCACCTAGCTTATAACTATGTTATTTGCTTTCCTTATGTTAACAACCATATTTCCAAAATGCTAGTCTCTATTCAGAGGCTCCTCTACTTACAATAGGATGCATCCTGATAAACCCATTGCTAGTGGAACGTAAGTACTGTAGCTAAAAAATGCACCTACCCTACTGAACATCAGAGCTTGGCCTAGCCTGCTTCAAGCATGTTCAGAAACTTAACTTATTGTATAACTGGGCATAACCATGTAACACAAAGGCTATTTTATGAAAAAGTGTTCAGAAGCCCATGTCATTCACTGAAAACTGCACCGAATGTGAAGAACAGGATGGCTGTGTAGGTAGCTTCACACCATCATGAAGCCAAACCATTTCTACAGGTCAGACGGGAAGGAAAGAAGCAGGGCTAGCTAAGAAACACGGAACGCAGGGCACCACAGCCTTACCTTCTTTTCAACACCTCCCGCTTCTCTATGCGGTTGAACAGTTCTTGCTCTCTCTCCTTCTCTGTCATCTGTTCTAGTCGAGCCCTGTCTTCCTCGTCTCCCATGAGATCCTCTCCATAGCCATCATGGAACTCTTCATCCTCTGAGGATGAGTCTGAGTCGGAGCTAGAAGAGGAGCTGTTGCTGTCAGAATCTGACACTTCACCTGCAACAAAGGCCCAGCAGAGGAGCACGTCATGCTACAACAATCCCAGTGTTGGCAATCATTGCCTTTTGGCTCTTCCAGGTAAAATGGCACAGGGCCAATTTAACTCCCTGGGGGCCATTCTGGTACATGCAAACAGGTCACCTGGCATTTTAAAACACTGAATCAATTTTTATTTTCTTCCTTGTCCTGGGGTTTGAACTCAGGGCCTGAGCACTGTCCCTGAGCCTCTTTGTGCTCAAGGCAAGTGCTCTACCATTTGAGCCGCAGCTCCACTTCTGGCTTTTTCTAAGTAGTTTGTTGGAGATAAGGGTGTCATGATCTTCGATCCCTCAAAGCTCAGCCTCTTGAGTAGCTAGGATTACAGGCCTGAGCCACTGGTACCCAGCAATACTGATCCATTTCATGACTGATTAGTGATTTCCTAATGACACTGGATTTTGACAGGACAAAGTGTATAAGACAGCACACACTATGAACAAGTACTAAAGAAATTGAGAACTTAAGAACTGTGCCTGGGGCTGGGAAGGTGGCTCAGTGGTAGAGCGCTTGCCTGGCATGCATGAGGCCCTGAGTTCAATTCCTCAGCACCACATAAGCAGAAAAAGCTGGAAGTAGAGCTGTGGTTCAAGTGGTAGAGTGCTAGCCTTTTGCTGAAGAGCTTAGAGACAGCACCCAGGCCCAGAGTTCAGGCCCCACGACTGAAAGAAAAAAAAAAAACACAAAAAAAAAAACAAACAAAAAACTGTGCTTTAGGCCAGGTACCGGTGGCTCACACTTGTCATCCTAGCTACTCAGGAGGCTGAGATCTGAGGATTATAGTTCAAAGCCAGCCTGGGCAGGAAAAGTCCTTGAAACTCTTATCTCCAATAAACCACTCAGAAAACCAGAAGTGACGCTGTGGCTCAAGGGGTAGAGCACTTGCCTTGAGCTGAAGAGCTGAGAGACAGTGCCCAGGCCCAGAGTTCAAGCCCCACGACTAACAAAAAACCAAACGAACAAACAAAAAAGAACTGTGCTTGAGCCAATACTTATTGGCATGGACTTAAAACCAGGTGAGGCCAATTTCATACCAGTCAGGTTGCATTTAAAGGTTATCACTGTTGAGATGTTAAACTAGTGGCATTGGTTTAATTAAAAAATGGGTTTTCTAGAGGCTTCTGTACTGATTCATGACTCCCCTTCATGGTCAGCCCTTGGCAGGCCTGGTGGACACCACCACGGACTGCTTTCAGAGTCAGAGTTGGGCTCGGGCCTTACGCACTCTTAGGAATTACATGCTTCCAAGGTTCACAAAGGATGCACAACCACAGGAAAGCTAAGAACCACTGCTCTAAGGTACAGGTTGAGCCATCAGGTAGGCCCCTTCTGCCTTCCCCTTTGTCTGCCTCTGTGTCCACCCTGACACGAACAGGAACTCATCCCTCCCCCTTCCCACGCGGCCTTAGCTTACCTTCCTCGGGTGCTGAGCTCTCAGCCGAACTGTCTTTGTCTGAACTGCCTGAGGAGGCAGTTTTGTTGGCTTGCTTCTTCATGGTTCCTTTCTTCTCTATTTTTCTGGCTTTTCCTTTCTTCTTATTTTTATTGCTCCCAAATGTCCACTACAATGATAAAAGAAAAGAAAAACTGAAATAGGAATAGGGACTTCACTGGGAAAATAAATGAAAAACCTGAGTTAAGTCTTCAGCCAGGAATGGTGGTACACATCTGTAATCCCAGAATTTAACAAGCAGAGGCAGAAAGACCAAGTTTGCGGCCAACCTAGGCAATACTTAAATACTTAAAAAAAAAAAAATTCTCTGCCCCAAAGAGTTAAGAATCTTTGATTTTATAAATACCACAGCCATGGTCTGGGATGTAGCTCAGTGGTAAAGCACTTGCCTAGCAAGCTCAATGTTCTGAGTTCAATCCCCAGTACCAAAAAAGAAAAGAACAAAAAAAAAGCCACAACCTGGGCACCCGTAGCTCAGGCCTGTCATCCTAGCTACTCAGGAGGCTGAGATCTGAGGATCAAGGTTTAAAGCCCATCCGGGCAGAAAAGTTCCCATGAGACGCTTCCCACCCCAAAAATGCAGGTTTTTTTAAAAACATCAGTTCAAACTGTAACCTTTGAAGTTTCTGAGTAATAGCAGGAAATTTGTATACCAGACATAAAATTTAATATTTTAATTACTGCAACAGAAAGGCAAAGGTGTCAATCTTACGGCAAGTCAGGTAAGTTATCTAAAACTGAGAAAAGTTTTTCATGTTTTCTGTTTCAGAGATAGTAGGAACTGCTAAAGGCTAGTGTGTTAGGTTTTATTTAAAAGAGGAAGGAGGGGCTGGGAAGGTGGCTCATTGGTAGAACGCTTGCCTCACATGCATGAGGCCCTGGGTTCAGATTCCTCAGCACCACATAAACAGAAAAAGCAGGAAGTGGCACTGTGGCTCAAGTGGTAGAGTGCTAGCCTTGAACTGAAGAGCTGAGGGACAGTGCCCAGGTCCAGAGTTCAATCCCAATGACTGACCAAAAACAAAAATGAATAAAAAAAAACCCTGAGTTTCTAGCAACTTCAAATTCTAATTCCTAAGAGTGTTGATTTTCAGTTTGAAACACCCCAAAATAGGCCAAATTGTTCAATTTCTTAGTCTACTGAGCTAAATACATCAACTTTTAGTGCTGACAATATGGATTTTACTAGAATCAATAACATGCAAGGTATTATTTTGCACTGGCTCTTGTTACAACAGCAAAACTATGCAAATACTGCTCAATATTTATTGCTCAGTTATATAAGTGGTAGATTTTCAGATAGAGTGTCGTGGCCCTCTGTCCTACTCAATGAGAATATGACGAGGATGAGTGAAAGGCTGAGCTACAGGGTCACACATGTGCCAGAGTGGTCAGCTCTATTTTTGCCTACAGATTTGGTTTTCCAATGACAGAGCTAAACTCTAGACTCCTGGGTGGGGGGTGGGGTGGTGGTAAAAGTGTTTATGAGAGCAAAATGCCCTAAATGTGAAGTCACAAAAGTAAATCCGGGCTGGGAATGTGGGTCAGTGGCAGAGTGCTTGACTAGCATGCATGAAGGCCTGAGTTCAATTCCTCAGGACCACACCAACAGAAAAAGCTGGAAGTGGCTCTGTGGTACAAGTGGTAGAGCGCTAGCCTTGAGCTGAAGAGGTGGTCAGGGACAGCGCCCAGGCCCAGTTCAAGCCCCAGGACTGGCCCCCCCCCCAAAAAAAAGTAAACCCAACTCAAGAGGTTCTGCAGACTGACTGCATGGTTCCTTGTCCTTCTATACACTGCTTCAGTTGGCTACTGCTGGCAGCAGCTGGCAGCCACTTTGTAGTATAAACCATTTATCTCTCAAAGAGGAACTAGAAAACAACAGGGTAAAATAGCAGGAAATACGATGCTTTGATTCACAAGGGGCTGTCCTGTCGAAGCCTGAATGTGAGAATGGTATTTAAGTTTTCTCCCAGCAAAGTTTCTCAAGAAATAAAGATGACAAAGCTGCCTGGCCTCCCAGGAGGCTGACTCAGTGAGGTCCGTGACGCCAAAGGCAAAGAACCAAAGAACCGGGAACTCAGTGCATGACAAGGGGTAGGGCATTAGTAACATCAGCGCTTTACTTGTAAAAATACATTTCTGAGCTAGAGGTACAGCTCAGCCGTACAGCAGCGTATCTCAGTGGACAAACCCTAGCTGATCTCTAGAACCAGAAAAACAACAACAACTTTTACTGCCACCCAATTTTAATGACAAAAACTTAGGTACCTGTCTCAATTATTTATTCAAAGAGATTTAAATGGGTAGTAATAATCATCCACAGACATTTTTCCTGTACTATGGATCACATTTCTAGTATTTTACATTTAATCCTATAAACCAGAGTCTCCTGAATGCCTCCTGGTCTAAGTATGTTTTTGTTTTTTATGTCTGTCCTGGGGCTTGAGCTCAGGGCCTGAGTGATGTCTCCGGCTTTTCACCCAAGGCTAGCACTTACCACTGGAGTGACAGCTCTACTTTTGGTTGTTAATTGGAGAAAAGAGTCTCACAAACTTTCCTGCCCAGGCTGGAAACCATTCAACCATTATCCTCAGATGCCAGCCTCCACTGTAGCTAGGATTATAGTCATAAGCCATTGGCTCATCTCCATGACACTTTTTGTTTTTGGGTTTTTTTCTTTGCAGGTCATGGGTCTGAACTCTGGGTCTGGGCGCTGTCCCTCAGCTCTTCAGCTCAAGGTTAGCGCTCTACCACTGGAGCCACAGCGCCACTTCCAGCTTTTTCTGTTTATGTGGTACTAAGGAATCGAACCCAGTGCCTCATACATGCAAGGCAAGCACTCTACCACTGAGCCACCTTCCCAGCCCCTCCATAACACTTTTATCTCCAATTAGCCACCAAAAAGTACCAAAAGTGGAGCTGTGGTTCAAATGCTAAAATGCTAGCCTAGAGAAAAAAAAAATCATAAGCTGGGTGCTGGTGGCTCATGTCTACCATCCTAGCTACTCAGGAGGCTGAGATCTGAGGATCACAGAATCCAACCCAGGCAGAAAAGTCTGTGGGGCTCTTTTTGGAGCCTGTGCAATATTCCTGAGCTGTTCAGCTGAAGGTGAGTGCTCTACCTCTTGAGCCACAGCGCCACGTCTGGTTTTCTGGTGATTAATTGAAGAGTTTCATGGACCTTCTTACCCAGGCTGGCTTTGAGCCAACAATCCTCAGATCTCAGCCTCCTGAGTAGCTAGGATTATAGGTGGCAGCCACCAGTGCCCAGCTTGTGAGACTCTTATCTCTAATAAACTACTCAAAAAAACACGAAGTGGTGATGTGGCTCAAGTGGTAGAATAGTTGCTCAGAGCACAAAGAGACTCAGGGACAGAGCCCCAACACTGGCACACACACACACACACACACACACACACACACACTCAGGGCTAGCACCCCCCCCCCCCCCGACACACACACTCAGGGCTAGCACCCAGGCCCTGAGTTTGAGTCCCATGACAAGCACATGCACAAAAACAAAACAGAACAAACCCACATACATATTCTAACACTTAATGGTTTCAATCAACACATCTTTTGTCTCTCTAACTGGATCTTATACATAATGTGCACTATACACGTCAGCCAAAATGCTGACTGGAGGTATGGCTCACAGCATTAGCCGTGAGCCAGAAAGCCAAGCAAGAGCCCATGGCCAGACAACAACAACAACACACATACACACAAAGACAAGGAAAAAGCCAAGTATAGTGGCACAAACCATACAATATCAGCTTACCGGGAGGCTGAAGCAGAAGGATTGTTTGAGCCAACAAGTTCAAGACTAGCATAGACTAACCTAGGGAACATAGTGAGTCCCTGTCTAAAACAACAAATAAGATAAAGGGAATCTCTACAGTAACTGCATGCTGAAGACTTTGACCCAACAATAGACAAGAGGTGAATGAAAGAGGTCCAAGAATAGATACTGCTTTTATCCTGTTCTCTCCCCCTACACCCCTTAGGAAGGTTTTCTCTACACAGCCCAGGCCAGCCTCAAACTTTCAATCCTGCTGTCTCAGCCTCCTCACTATTAGGATTATAGGCATATACCACAGTGCCCACCTATTGCTTGTGTCTTAAGGAAATGAAAGCCCACAAACCCTAGGCACTCTAGACACAAGACAGACTCAAACTTAAGAAGGATATAGAAGGTGGGTATTGGTGGCTCACGCCTGTAATCCTAGCTACACAGGAGGCTGAGATCTGAGGATCACGGTTCAAAGCCAGCTTGGGCAGGAAAGTCTGTTATCTCCAATTAACCACCAGAAAACCAGAAGTGGTGCTGTGGCTCAAGTGGTAGAGCGCTCACCTTGGGTTGAAGAGCTGAGGGACAGCGCCCAGGCCCAGAGTTCAAACCCCACGATTGACAAAAAAATAAAAAAAGGAAGTGATACTGTGGCTCAAGTGGTAGAGCCTTCACCTTGAGCTGAAGAGCAGAGAAATAGTGACCAGGCCCAGAGTTCAAGTCCCATGACTGACAAAAAAAAAAAAAGTGTATATATATATATATATATATATATATATATATATATATATAGAGAGAGAGAGAGAGAGAGAGAGAGAGAGAGAGAGAGAGAGGAGGGGGGGGGAAGAGAACCATAGCAGCTGATGTCTGAAAATGAAAAATAAAAGTATTTGCAGAAATACTGAGACAGAAAATTATGTCGATTTTCTTGAATTATCTCTGCATTATAAAAAAAGAAAACAGAAGCAAAACTAAAACTTCTCCATAGACTTGCTGATTCTCAAACTTATTGGGTTATTTTATTCATAGAGAATTATAGCTTTTCCATTAAATTAAAAAAAATAAACATTCACTATCTCTTGCTAGGAAAAGTAATTTTAGGTCTATTAAATTATTTAAGACCAAGAGAATATTACTATAGTCATTCAGAACTCAAATAATTTGCATATGCAGAGGACTGGTAAATGCTGTTCAGCTGTTAATTAAATTTCATTAAATTTATAGAAATATTCATTTTCATTGTAGTAAACATTTAAAAGTTTGCTGTTAAAATTATTCTCCTGGACAACAGTGGAAGAGATAAAACAGAAAGGTAGTATTATCTCTCTCCAGGAAATCAGTACAGGGAAAGAGCACTTTTTTTTTTTGTCAGTAGTGGGGCTTGAACTCTGGGCCTGGGTGCTGTCCCTCAGCTCTTCAGCTCAAGGCTAGCACTCTACCACTTGAGCCACATCTCCACTTTGGAGATAAGAGTATGGGGGGGGCAGGGGCGGGCGGGGCAAGGCTGGTCCCAGTGGCTCACACCTGTAATCCTAGCTACTCAGGAGGCTGAGATCTGAGGATCACGGTTCAAAGCCAGCTTGGGCAGGAAAGTCTGTGAGACTCTTATCTCCAATAAATCACTAGAAAACTGGAAGTAGCACTATGGCTAAAGAGGTTCCATGCTTGCCTTGAGCTGAAGAGCTGAGGGATAGTTCCCACCAAGGCCAGAGTTCAAGCCCCATGACAGACTAAAAAAAAAAAGGTCTCACAGGGGCTGGGAAGGGGGCTCAGTGGTAGAGTGCTTGCCTTGCAGGCATGAGGCCTTGGGTTCCATTCCTCAACACCACAGAAGCAGAAAAAGCCGGAAGTGGCGCTGTGGCTCAAGTGGTAGAGCGCTAGCCTTGAGCTGAAGAGCTGAGGGACAGCGCTCAGGCCCAGAGTTCAGGCCCCATCATGACCCACAAAAAAAAAAAAAAAAGTCTCACAGACTTTCCTGCCCGGGCTGGCTTTGAACAGCAATCCTCACATCTCAGGCTCCTGAGTAGCTATGATTATAGATGTGAGCCACCAGCGCTGACTGGAAGGAACACGTTAAATCCAGCGTTTCACCACCAATACCCCCACCCAGCTTCCATGCAGCCAAACGTATCTTAGGGCCTTTCAGTGTTGGTGGCAATTTGAGAAAGATGCCTTGGTTTAGACAATAAACTAGATTTTCATAGTTTTTTTTTTTTTTTTTTAATGTCAGTCCTAGGGCTTGAACTTATGGCTCCGGTGCTGTCCTTGAGCTTTTGTATTCAAGGCAAATAATACTCTATCACTTGAGCTATCACAGCCCCACATCTGGCATTTTTGGTGCTTAAGATATGAGTCTCACCAATTTTCAGCCCGTAGTTGGCTTTGAACCATGATCCTGGTATCTCAGCTCCCTGAGTTGCTAGGATTACAGATGTGAGCCCTCAGCACCTGGAGATTTTTTTTTGGGATTCAGGGTGTTGTTATGTAGCCCAGGTTGGCTTGATCTCCATTTCTCTGCCTCAGCCTCTGCAGTGATAGGATTACAGGTGTGTGCCAGTAATGGCTGACATATAATTTCTTTTCTGACATGAAAGTAGGATTAAAAAGATGACTTAAGGCTGGGAATGTGGTTTAGTGGTAGAGTGCTTGACTAGCATGCATGAAGCCCTGGGTTGGATTCCTGAGTACCACATCAACAGAAAAATCCGGAAGTGGCACCGTGGCTCAAGTGGTAGAGTGCTAGCCTTGAGCTGAAGAGGTCAAGGACAGCGCCCAGACCAAGTTCAAGCCTCAGGACTGGCAAAAAAAAAAACAACAACAAAAACAAGTTAAATAATGATTTCTTGCACTTCTGCAATAAGGCTGAGAGCAGCTAAAGAATGGCTATGAGGGCTGGGAAGGTGGCTCAGTGGTAGAAGGCTTGCCTTGCATGCAGGAGACCCTGGGTTCGAATCTTCAGCACCACATAAGCAGAAAAAACCGGAAGTGGTGCTGTGGCTCATGTGGTAGAATGCTAGCCTTGAGGTGAAGAGCTGAGGGACAGTGCCCAGGCCCCGAGTTCAGGCCCCATGACCGACCAAAAAAAAAAAAAGAACGGCTGTGAATGTCCTGTGAAGAGGTTCTCTATCTAGGAGTACATCAAATGTGACAATTCAGAGCTTCCCTTAGTAGCTGTACAAGGGAGGCGTCATTTAACAAAGCAGTATGTGAGTACAACGTACCTTGACCCATGTCACCCCTTAACAATCCCATCCTCCTTTGACCCATCCTTTCCTTTCTTTCTTTCTCTCTCTCTCTTTCTTTCTTCCTTCCTGTCTTTCTTTCCTTCCTTCCTTCCTTCCTTCCTTTCTTTCTTTCTGTCTTTCTTTCTTTCTGTCTGTCTGTCTTTTTGCTGGTCCTAGGGTTTGAACTCAGGGCTTGGACACTTGTCCCTGAGCCTCTTTGTGCTCAAAGTCAGCACTCTACCACTTGAGCCACACAGCTCCACTTCTGGCTTTTTCTGCTTATGTGGTGCTGAGGAATGGAACCCAGGTCCTCATGCATGCAAGTCAAGCACTCTACCACTGAGCCACCTTCCCAGCCCCTTCCTTACATTTCTTTTCTTTTTTTTTTTGGTCAGTCATGGGGCTGAACTCTGGGCCTGGGCGCTGTCCCTCAGCTCTGCAGCTCAAGGCTAGCGTTCTACCACTTGAGCCACAGTGCCACTTCCAGCTTTTTCTGCTTCTGTGGTGCTGAGGAATCGAACCCAGGGCCTCATGTACACAAGGCAAGCGCTCTCCCACTGAGCCACCTTCCCAGACCTTAAATTAATTTTATGGTATTACAATGAACTCTTGACTGCACTCTCCTCCGCTTCCCCTGCATTGTCCAGCCCTCTCTCCTTGCCCTGGTCCTCTAAGCACCCATTTTTTGGTGCTTAATTTGTTGGGCTTTGACTTAATCTTTCTAAAAAACACTGTCCCATCTGGGGTTTCCTGTATACAATTTTTTTTTTTCTAAACACGTAGATGTTAGGCTGGAGTCCTAGCTTAATGAAGTTTGGCTGGTCAGCTGTCACCAGCTCAGGGACTGGTTATCTACCCATCTCGCCGGCCTGGCCTTCCACACCCACCTCATCGTCACTGTCGGAAGTCTCCGAGTCCGACGAAGCTGCAGGCTGGCTCACGGGTGGCTCCTTCTCCTCAGAGTCACTGCGCTTCCGTTTTGCCAGGGACAAGAGCTCCTAAGAGGAGAAGTGGGAAGTATCCTATCAGTTCTGGTCAGCAGAGAAAGAGTAACACAACGCCCCCCTGGCTTCCATGCCTTGGCGCTTCCATGCAAGGACATCATCATGAAGACTTTTAGTACACGGTCAGTCCGAATGCCCATATTCCCAAGTGTTAAAAACAAGGCTTCCAAAACCTGCCCTGTCCTTCTTCATGAGAAACACAAGCCTTAGAGCCAAGAGCTACTCCTCTCTAAACCACAGCAATACTGACTGTCAGTACTCATAGCGAGGAACTGTGATGATCAAAGTACTTGTTCACTGTTCAAAGTACTTGTTCAATGCTATGTGGGCAATAATGCAAGCTTCCTATTGTATTTCCTAGGAAAATTAATGACTGAGGGGCTATTTACATATGTTTACAAACTGCCAGTTTCTAGGTCATTATATTCTGAATGTTTATATGGGAGTGGTGGAGGAGGTGTATTTCTGATGCTTAATCCAGGGTGTGACAAGAAGCAGTAAAGGTGCTAGCCCCTACATGAGAATCCCAATCTGACAACCCTAACACCCCCTTCTCCCTTCTGCTTTGTGCTGGTGATTCAGTAAGATCAGATCGTCAGGGGGACACATCAATGAGGGTGCTACAGGTATGCCAGGATTTGCTACCATCCAGCTCCCTCTCTCCCATTACTTCTTCCCTATTCACATCGGCTACTCAAAAACACAAGCAGCGGGGCACTGGGGGCTCACGCCTGTAATCCTAGCTACTCAGGAGGCTGTGATCTGAGAACTGAACTTTGAAACCAGCCTAAGCAGACAGATCCAGGAAACTTATCTCCAACTAGCCAGAAAAAAAGCCAGGATGGAGGCATGGCTCAAGTAAGAGTGCCCGCCACCTGTGTGCGGGTATGAGTAAGCCAGTCTAGAGCATTGGCCCTGAGTTTAAAACCTGGTACAGGCAAAACAGACAAACACAACTTGGGGGGACTTGCTCTACAGATACCAATAGTAGCTGACAATTGTGCTATTCTTCTAGACACAAGGCACGTCACCATAACTTGCAGCAGGTAATGTTACTGTCTTCACTTAAACAAGTCCAGAAGCATGGTAAAGTACTTTGCCCAAGCTGTATGACTGACCTAGCAACACAGCTAGTACATGAGAGTCAGGATTTGAACCTGCCTTTAAATCAGGCACAATCTACAAGGCTAAAATGTTCTCACCACGTGCCAAAAAAGAGAAAGTCTAGGTAATAAACACTAGTAGTAGTATTCCTTGAGGATGACATCTAGGTCAAGTGCCAAGACAGATTTTTAAATAATGGACTGCCACAAAGTATCTGTTTTCTCCTTCCAGTCTCTTTCTATTTTAGGAGCACCTCCTTCCTTGGCCAGAATGAGAAAATGACCTTCTCAGATTAAACAGCTGACACTTTCTTCTCCACAGCAGCCAGGAAATGGCTCCCATCTCCTTCCATGAGAGCTAGCACACCACACCACACAACATGCCTCTTCCACACTCCCACAGACCAAATGCACATTAGAGCAATATTTGCGGGTTTGTTTTAAAAACAAAACAAAAACTGGAGATATCATTTATATAAGTATCTTTTCTAATGTCTGCGTTTGACAAACAGACTCAGTGTTAACACTTCTCTAATCAAGATACCAGAGAGGGGCTGGGAAGGTGGCTCAGTGGTAGAGTGCTTGCCTTGCATGCATGACGCCCTGGGTTCGAATCCTCAGCACCACATAAGCAAAAAGAAAAAAGCCAGAAGTGGCGCTTTGGCTCAAGTGGTAGAGTACTAGCCTTGAGCTGAAGAGCTGAGGGACAGCGCCCAGGCCCAGAGTTCAGGCCCCATAACCAGACCCTCCCCCCCAAAAAAAAAGATACAGGAGAGGCCGTCATCCCAGCATTCCCTCACCCTCCTCTCACCCTGTCAGCCTCTACTGCGACCACAGGACTGCCCTGTCCCTTCAGCTGTGTCTACTACATAGACTGTCGCAGATGGACTCCCATGGTTTACAGTCTTGAATTTGGCATCTTGAGCTGAGTGTTAAGGCTTTGAGATTCACCCAACTGTAGCATCTATCAGTAGCATTTGCAATTTTATTGTATGGGCACATCAGTGTTTACCCACTCACCAACTGAAAAACATCTGGTTGTTCCCATTTGTGGGCAATCCTATGTTCATATACAAGTTTTTGAGCAAACATAAGTTTTTGCTTCACTTGGGTGATTAAATACTTATGAATAAGAATGCTAGGTGGTGGCACGGTAATTTGAGATGGTCATTTATTGCTATATTCCCTAAGATAAATCTATAGACTCTAGGAAGATTTTCGGCAAATGATCTTCTCCCTAATCCCTCATAGTTTATAAATTGATGAATGTTTATTTTATTTTTGTCAGTTGTGGGGCTTGAACTCAGGTCCTGGGCGCTGTTTCCAAGCTCTTTTGCTCAGGGTTAGCACTTACCACTTTGAGCCACAGTGCCGCTTGCAGTTTTCTGGTGGTTAATTGGAGATTAGAGTCTCATGGTCTTTCCTGTCCAAGTTGGCTTTGAACTGCAATCCTCAGATCTCAGCTTCCTGAGTAGCTAGGATTACAGGTCTGAGCCACTGGTATCTATCTATCTATCTATCTATCTATCTATCTCTCTCTCTCTATCTATCTATCTATCTATCTATCTATCTATCTATCTATCTATCTATCTATCTATCTATCTATCTATCTATCTATTATTTTTGCTGGTCCTGGGGCTTGAATTTAGGGCCTAGACAAGGTCTCTAAGCTTATTTTGCTCAAGGTTCTCTACCACTTGAGCCAAGTGCCACTTTCCGGTTTTTCTGAGTAGTTTATTGTAGATAATAGTCTTGTGGACTTTTCTACCTGGGCTGGCTTTGAAATGTGATCCTCAGATCTCAGTCTCTTGAGTAGCCAGGATTACAGACATGAGCCACCGGCGCCTGGCTCCCTCGGAGTTTATAAAGCATTAGAACTCTTATCATAGTACCAATTCATCATAAGAGAGACACAGATACAGTCCCTTGCATATAGTACAGTAGTATATCAAATAAAGACTGCCTAGAAGCAGTCTTTAGGAAAGTTATGGGATTGGGTCTTCATGACTGAATCCTGGAGGCTTTATAAGAAGAGAGGGGTCTGGGAAGGTGGCTCAGTGGTAGAGTGCTTGCCTAGCATGCATGAAGCCCTGGGTTTCATTCCTCAGCACCACATACACAGAAAAAGCTGGAAGTGGAAGTGGTGCTGTGGCTCTCAAGTGGTAGAGTGCTAGCCTTGAGCAAAAGAAGCTCAGGGACAGTGCCCAGGCCTTAAGTTCAAGCCCCAGGACTGGCCAAAAAAAAAGAAGAAGAAGAAGAGAGGGAGACCTGAAAACACACAGGGACGCGTGCACTCTCAGGATATGGTACTGCTGTTCAAACTTCCAGCCTCTCAAACTGTGAGCTAAATAAACCTTTTCTATGACTTCCCTTGCTTTGTTATATTAATGGAAACCTGATGGATACAACTCATAATCAAAGCCTTACCCGAAACGTTAACAATTATATGCAGATGTCCATTAAAAGTTACTATCCCTAGGGGTTGGGTATGATGGCACATATCTATAATTCCAACTACCTGGGGGGCAGAGACCCAGAGGTTGCAGTCCAGTTGGACAAACAAGTTAGTGATACATCTCAGTCAATAAGCCTTGTGTGATGCATGTGCCTGCCATCCCAACTACAAGAGAGATACATGTAGGAGACTGAGGTCTAAGGCCTGCATGGACAAAAACAAAAGACACTATTCAGAAACTAATTAGTAGTAGGAGCTAAAGTGGTAGAGTGCTAGTCTAGCAAGTATGAGGCCCTGAGTTCAGACACCAGTTTAAAAAATAACAAATAGCCAGGCACCGGTGGCTCACGCCTGTAATCCTAGCTACTCAGGAGGCTGAGATCTGAGGATCACAGTTCAAAGCCAGTCCGGGCAGGAAAGTCCAGGAAAGTCCGTGAGACTCTTATCTCCAATAAACTACTAGAAAACCTGAAGTGGCACTGTGGCTCAAGAGGTAGAGCGCTCACCTTGAGCTGAAGAGCATAGGGACAGCACCTAAGCCCAGAGTTCAAGCCCCATGACCGACCAAAAAACAAGTAGAGCTGGGGGCCAGTGGCTCATGCCTGTAATCCTAGCTACTCAGGAGGCTGAGATCTGAGGATCATAGCTCAATGTCAGGCTGAACAGTCTGTGAGACTCTTATCTCCAATTAACCACCAGAAAACTGGAAGTGGCACTGTGGCTCAAGTGGTAGAGTGCTCTCCTTGAGCTGATGAGCTCAGGGACAGTGGCCAGGCACTCGACAGACCAAAAACAAACAAACAAACCAAACCAAACCAAAACAAAACAAAAAAAGCCGGGCTCTGGTGGCTCACACTTATAATCCTAGTTACTCAGGAGGCTGACATCTGAGGATTGCACCTCAAGGCCAGCCTGCGCAAGAAAGTCTGTGAGATTGTTATCTCCAACTAAACACCAAAAAAAAAAGGAAAAAAAAAAAAAGCTGGAAATAGAGCTGTGGCTAAAGAGCTCAGGGATAGAGCTTATGTCCTGAGTTCAAGGCCCAGGACCAGCACAAAAATAATAATAATAAAAAAACAAACCTCAAAATCTTCACCACATTGTACATATAAATAATTTTGCAGGAGTGACATATCCAACACCCATACTAAGCCAGTCTGAGTACTGGCCCCACAGGTAAGAGCAGACCTACCTCCTGCTGTGCATGCCTGTGTCCTGAGGCTCTCTCTCACTATAATCCCTGTATTTCATCTCAGTGAAAACCTTCTGCTTATCTTAACATTGCTAGAGAAATGGAATATGGGCTAACAGCATACTATAGTAAATTTAAGCTGAACTGATCTGCTTAGAATAATGCTAGTGTCCAACATACCGTCGCACAGCTGTGGAGGGATGCCATATCTGGCTTCTTCAGCAGTTTCCTTAGCATTGCTTAA